AACTTTTTCTTTTTGTAATTTCACTCATTGTTTTCAAATTTTCTTTCAAAAATACTCACCGTATTCATACTTTCACCCTTTTTTTCAGAATTATTTTTAATTTCGTCTCTAATTTATTTTTTTTCAAAAATTTAACAAAACTCAAATTAAAATAAAAATTTAATTATTTATATATATTTTATAAATTGAAAAAAATCATCTCAAGCCAACTTTTCGGACCCAGGTATTACAAACAACACCCACATAAATTTTTGAACAATCAATTCCATATTCCAGCACGTACTCTTCAGAAATAACTTCCCCTGTAGATTTACATATGAATAAGTCAAAAATTAGCTTCTGAATCTTAAGTCGCAAACGTAATGAAGCCAAGAAACAAGTTTGATAGTGATAGCCTTGAGAAATATACATACATCACCCAGAGACGAAGTTATATATAAATGTACTTAACAAATTAAACCACAAACATCTAGGCCAACATGAGTATTATGCCATTGAGAACATTGCTTACACAATAATTCTAATTACCCATTAGAGGTATGAGAATAATCATTTCAAAAGAAATAACAAAAAATCAAGGAAATAAATAGAAAATAAATGATTGGGCATCCTACTCGCAACCTTCTTGTAGATCAGATTTTGGATCTTTGTTATATTGATTTGAAATAGTTAATAAAAGAATGAGGTACACTAGTTCAGTAAGAATATCACGCTACTCACCGACACTGAAATGAAGGTTGGTAGAAATTATAAAAATAACTAATAGAGCTCTTAATTCAAGTAAATTCGTTTATCATGAATAAAAATCATTTACCGCATGCTTATCGTAGTGAAATTTTAAAAACCAACTTATAGAGTTAAGAACATAAACAATACCATAAATATCATACGCAGTCATTCGAAACAACAATTTTTCTCTTTTATCAGCCTACTAGTATCTATAGGGATTCATAGGGATATCCCCACTACACGTGAACCTTTATTTAATATTTTTAAATAACAAACCGTCCTCATATCTCGTCCGGTATGAGCGCTAAAAGATACAATTCTTCAATGCCCCATCCGGTATGAGGGTGAAACGGGTCGTCCTCATACCCCGTCCGATGTGAGTGCTAAATTACAAATCCTCGATACCTTATCCGGTATGAGACAACATTCACAGTAGGGTTCCCTATGTACCCAGTCCATCTACCATATCTCAGGATATTTAGTAAGGCTGTCGTTCATCCATCCACTTAATCAGACGATTTTCCGTTTACCTTTAATTTTCAGTTACCAAATTTAACCGTAATCACAAAAAACAAGCAATCCATGCATCAAGGAACACAATTGCATCATCATACCAATTCCAATGTATTATCATGTATTCGAAAATTGTAAAATCAGACAATCAATTAAATATAGCAAACAGTAATAAGTAACCAGTTTCGGCTCTATTAGTAACCTGTAATTAATTACGAATATTTTCTAAATTACACAAAATATCATATTTTTATTAATTAAACTTTAATTCCATAACTGGGAATAAGGTGAGAGATTCTTACTCAAATTGATGTCCAAAATGCTAACTTTTGACTGTGCCTACTGGCAATCCCTAGGTCCCCTGAATTTTTCTTCGGGGATTAAAATGTGTTTCAAGTACCTATAAATATCCCAAAAATTCAAAATCAGTTTCAGAAATCCTTTTTGACCAATTCCAAAAATCCGGCACGGCGGCTCCATCGTACTCCGGCGATGGCACCGCCGCTTGCGGTAGTAATTTGCTTCGGGTTGGTTGTTTTTAACCGTTTTTGATCAATTTCGGTCGGTTTTGTACTAATCCCTGCAAGAAAATACGTTAAACGGCCTCGGTTGGCTAAAAAAATCGAAAAATCAAAGCTTACCAGCGGCAGGATTCTCCGGTGCGGCGGCTCTGCCGGCTCACCTTCACGGTTAGGTGTTTTGCTTCAGCCAACTTGTAGAGAAAGAGATGGTGATTACAATGGTGAAAAAATTACACGAAACGGGAATCGGGAAGGACATCATCAGAGGCGATTTTTGCCTTTTCCCACGGTGGCGTCGCCAGGCTTTGCCTGTAGTTTTCAGCTCATCCGCCGGTTTTTTTACTCCAATTTTGTCATGGGTGTGCTCAAAATTAAATTTCGAGCAAATAAAATTTTTTTTACCTCTTTTGGCAGTCGGAAGTGGTTCCGGCGCAGCAGTAGGCAGCGATCGGATCTTTTCCCGACGACTGGCTCTTCTTCTCCGGCGGGGGGTCTAGCAGTTAAGGTTAGGGTTTGATGTGATGATGGTTATTTATATTTGTTTACTTTTAATTTAGGTCGTCAATCGCTTTTGATCTGAACCGTCCGATCGCGATTAAATAGGGAGTGAATCTGAACCGTTAATCGCGGTTTGATCTAAGTCATCCGATCGCATCTGAGGAGGGAACGGATCCAAACCGTCTGTGCGCGCAAGAACAAATTCGGACCGTCCGATCGCGGCACACGGATCGCCAGCATAGCCTCCCGCGTGACACCGCATCAACGTGGCTTGCCACACAACGCGCTCAGATTCGTCGTATGTGACACAATTTTTTTAAATTATATTTTGACCAATAATTTTTTATTTTTCTTTCAAAAATAACTCTAAAACCCAAATTTTTATCCATTTTTTTTAAATTGTTTTTAATTTCATCATCCATTTAATTTTTTTATTTTTACCTTAAATAAAAATTAAAAATTATATTTATTTATTAATTTTAATTATAATTAAAATTAATTAGGGCATTACAACAAACATCTAGGCCAACATGAGTATTTTGCCATTGAGGACAATGCGGTTGAAGCAACACCAGAGTGAAAAAGAATTTTGCAGTTTGCTTTTTCTCATCAGCCATCACTTTTGCAAGCTGACAGCTCTAAAATTCAGTCGATTCAAAATATGCGAAGTATGGATGAAGTCATGAACATCTGAAGATTGGAGTGGCTTCTTTGAATCTGGTTTGCCTTATAAGTGAATTAACAACTATTGAGCTGAAGCATTATTAACACTCAATTCTATTAAATGTTCAAAAGGCCAATTTTTCAAATCCAAGCAAATTAGAGCATGTATATTAGTGAATTAAACATACTAGTCCATTATCCAAAAGCTGCAAATGCCAATCCTTCCACCATCTAATGTGGCATAAGAATCCAGCCGTTATGGATTCAATCCTCAGATATATAAGCCACTATTCAATCAACCATGTGCTCCTATATATTTCTGTAGGCCGTTTGAATTGGCATTCTTTATTTTTTCCTTCTTTCTTGAGCTTATAAGCTCTTTTGGCTTTGGATATTCTAGCTTATCATTTTGAGGACAAGCTTTAAAAATGTAGGTTGTCATGAGGAAGCTTATCCTTTGGATCAAGATACAGCTAATAAACCCAACATTTGAATGACCAATTTTTATGCTAAAGAAAGTTGGTTCAAATGGTTTATATACGCCTTCAACAGTTAAATCATTTCCATCTACAACCCCATTTTCAGTTCTTGCTTAAAACAAAGAATACTTAGCAACTTTCTGGGTTTCCGTAAAGGAACAAACTTTGCACCTAAAGCAAATGCAATTGATGGACCAATCATAAACCCTCGAGCTTCCACTCCTACACAATATTCGAAGACATTACCAACGTTTGGAAAAACAAAAATTCACTGCATTAAACATCAACAATTATTATAAGCTCAGGCTTCCAACATTAAGGTTACATTTCCTGGAAACTGTTTTCTTTTTCAGTATGACTGTATGAAGTCTACAAAGACGGGTGCCCACAATTCATTTTGTGAGCTCGAGCACGCTGTATCTCGAATCCTGACAGAAATCTGAATTAAGGAGACGAAAACACAATAAAACAAATATGTGAGCGAAATCAGCTTAGTTTTTCGTCTTCTGAGTTTTGGAAGTCTTCTCTTTTTGGACTTCTAACCGTATTGTATGCAGAAAACAGAACAAATATAATTTTAGAGCAACTCCAAATGTAGAAACTTTGAAAGGAAGCAACTAAACCTTAAACCCATGTTAGAGAAAGAAGACAAGAAGTAGGCAAGCACATAACTTTCTGAAAGGAACAAGTAAAAAAAAGTGAAAACAAAACCCAAAAGATCAAGTCTTGAAGAGGAGCCCAGGAACATCATTTGGAAAATAAATCATTGCAAACGAGGAAACATAGTCGGTAATGGAAAACACAAATCTGAACAAGCGAAATCTTTTTTTTCCAAATCTGGGTCTTCAATAAATTCTCCGGGTAAATAATTGTAAAAGAAAGAAACGCATATTATTTTTTCCCAATAAACACAGAGTTAGGAACAGATTAATAAGTAATAATATTAAGGATGATAATAATATTAAAGAAGAAGGAGAAGGAAAAGAGACATGCAGTATCCTACGGTACCGGCAACGAGAGAAATGTCCTTATATCTGTAAAAATATACAATAATGTCGACCATGTCTTTAGACGCCTTGTCATCAAGAAACAACGTCGTGATATCTTGAAACACTATTCCTGTTTCCAGAACCAACAATGCAGACGCATGTCATGTTCGACGAAATTCCGCACAGAAAAAACAGAGCAGAGAGATTATATTAGAAGAAGAAGAAGAATAACCTGGGTTAGGGAAGTGAGGAACAACCCTAACGGCTTCCGATATGCCTTTAAGTCTGGGATCTCCTTTCAGTCCGTTTTCTGCAGCAAACATTGTCTTCTTCCTCTCCAAATCTCCTCTCCTCGTCTAGTCGTGTCCAAGCTTTGGATTCCTGTGGTGAATTGTAAGGAAGAATGAAGAAGTAAAAAGTGTTTGGTAATTAATTTCTGGTAATCTGAAATTGGGGATTTTGGAAGTTCAAGAGTCCATTTCCCTCCTAAAATCAGCTAAAGATCAAAAGCTCTCTGTTATCGATGGAGGAGACTCGAATGTGAGAGTCAGTAAATACCGAGTGTTTTGTTTATCTATGTTAGCCAAACCAAAAAGATCTATACTGCTGACAGGGACGATTTTCTTTTTTAGAGAGGTGGTCACGCTCTCTTTGTAGCGGGTGCGTGACGCGCGGCTCCAACCCCTCGAGCTTATCATCGTCCTCGTAAGAAGAAAAGAAAAAAAAATGGTGAAGTCTCTTTCAACTATAATTAAATCGGTATTATATTTAATTAATTATGTTATAAGATTAATAATGAAAAAATAATAATTTGTTTTTTATTTTTAATTTCATTTTTAAAAAAATCAGAAACAAATTCTTATTTTACTTAATAATATTTCAAATACTCAAAAATATAATTTGAATAGTTATAATAATTAATTTTAACTATTATATATTTTTTTTAATATTTAACATTCATTATTTATTTCGCACAATAATTAATTAAACATAATTTTTTATATAAAAAATGCTCTTCACAACAATTTATAGCATACGGGAATTTTTAACTTAAAAACTATTTTTATTTTGTAAATATTTTTACGGGCTAGTTGTATAAGCATATATGGAACTAATAATAATTTCACAAACTTAATTTTTAAGATTAAAAAGATGTGGATAGATATACACCTTCATATTATTCTAACATCTCAATAAACAAACACTCTAAATAAAACATTGGAAAATTGAATTGAAAAATAAAATAAAAATGATAAAATATATGCATTATAATTCATATTTTATATATTAAAAATATTATTAGAACGTGTATTCAATTGAATATTATAACCATGTTCTCTATGATGAAAAATTAAATAATTAATTACAAATGATATGATTTTATTATTTGATTTGTTTTGTTTCTAATGTTCTTATTTATTTTTTGATTTTCTTATTATTTGATACCATAATTTCTTTTTCTTTTTTAATATTCTTCCTCAAGCTGAATAATAGATGTTGTCTATTCTTAATTTACCAATATGATCTTAGAATATTCGATTACTTACACATATAGTTAACATGTCAGCCAGTTGATAATTGGCAAATATATATAGAGTAAATATTAAGTTGTTGTCTAGTTTTTTTTTTTTTTTTTGATAAAATAAATGTCGATCTCAATGTGTTTGATTCGGTCATATTGCACTAGATTGTAACCGATGCTTATAACCGATTTATTGTCACAGTATAAATGCATTGGATTTTTTACTTTATATTAAGATATTATATTATTATTTTTATCCATATTAGTTTACGCACCCCTTGTGTTATTGTTCGAAATTATGATTATGTACTTAATCTTGCAACTATATTTTATTTATTATTTCTTGAAGTGACTAAATTGCTTATAAAGAAGGTACAATAATCTATAGTTGATATTGTACCTACAACTGGCCCTACATAATCTGCATAATTATAGGCTTGTATGAATTATGTTTCATTATTCTTAAATATAATTCATTTTTCTGATGACCTTTTGAAATATCATAGTATTATATAAGCAGTTTATAGGTGCAGTTCTTTCAGATTTTTATAAATTGACTTATAATACTTATTACATAGGCAATGTCTAGTATTGTGTAAAATAGGTAGATCAATATCACAACTAATATATGATACATTTTATTATTTACCAGTGTATTCTTCATCTGCTATTCATAATTTATGATTAAAATAAATATGAACACTAACTAGTTTGCATATTAAATTGTCAGTGTCTTTTAAAATATAATGAATGTATTTATGTTAAAAGATAAAAATTATAAATTTAGAGTTGACAACTTCAATTCTTATAACATACTCAAACTTACCTAGTTTATTGATTTCAAATTATTTTATTTGGTGTTATCTTAGTGTTTGTTGTTTATTCTCATAACTTTTTATAACAATAATATGGTATATCCACCATTTGTCAAGTGCCTACATTTCCACACTCATAGTATTTCTCTATTTTTTGCATGATAATGCATCAAATACTGTGTTAGGGATACACCAATTATTTAAACTTGTGAATAAATTTCTATTGGTTGATGAACATTTATCAAATAACACAAATTATTAAATATGATATAGATGATGTTTAGTGCACTCTTTTGTACATTTACGAAGTATAACAGATAAATCATTATCATATAATTTTATAAGTTTTTCGGGATTTACCTTAGTTTCATGATCAATATTAGATTATTAAACATGCTTTATCTTTGTATTCGACGTCTCTTTCATTGTATATATTTGAGAAAACCTATAGTCTGATATGATATATTGATATGATGAATTTTGAATGTTTTTTTATAGTGGTAAGTTTTCTAATAGATTCTAAATATTTTATTACGATAATGATTTTGAAATATGTGGTAATGTTTATGTTCTTTATTTTTCATTATAAGTTATCATATGAATATAAGATTCAGTGAAGTAAGACCCTTATTAAATAAAGTGACATCCGCAGACATATAAAATTTATAGGTAGTCAGATAGTAATATTTATATACTTTTTGAGATGGAGAGTATGTAGCACCCGGAAAGGAGGAGGAAAAAAAAAAAAAAAAAAAAAAAAAAAAAAAAAAAAAGGGGGGGGGGGGCCACGTCAGCAGCCGCGTCAGCAGCCACGTCAGCAGTCCCGGCCAACCAGGGCCTACCACGTGGCAAGATCGCGTCACTCCGAAAGGAGCCACGTTGGCGATCCGCGTGGGTGCGATCCGACGGCCCAGATCAATCACGCGATCGGACGGCCCAGATTCAAACGCACGGACGGCCCAGATTCAATCAAAAACGAACGGCCCAGATTAAAACGAAATGAACGGCTGTGATCAAAAGGCAAGGGGTTATAAATAGAACCTCCACACCAGACCAAAAACCCTAGCCGCCAGCCGCTCGCCGGAGAAGACGAACCAGGGGCCGACCGCCGCCACCCGCCGCCACTCGCCGCCGCACCGGGGAAATTTCCGACCGCCGATTGAGGTAAATTTCATACCCCCGACTCGTTTTTCCCCGCTGATTCCTCCTATGGCCAAATCGAGGCCGAAATCCTGGCCAAACGGCCGGAATACGCGGCCGAAGCCCAGCGGCGCCGCCGCGCCCCCTCTCGGTTTTTGCCTCCGAAGAGGCCCTTCCCGGCCTCCGTTCGATGCAATTTTTATATCACCGTGATCACCATTCTTTTCTCTACAGGTTGACCGGAGCCGAATCACCAAAACACGAACCTCGCCGGAGAGCCGCTGCACCCGAGAGCGCCGCCGCCGGTAAGCTCCGTTTTTCCGTGATTTTTTGGCCTCCCGAGGGCCCTAGGGTTGTTTTCTGACAAGGACCAATGCGAGTGTGGCCGAATTCGGCCGAAAACGGCCAGAAACAGTCAACCCGAGGCGACTCGCCGCCGCCAGCGGCGGTGCCGTCGCCGGAGCACGGCGGAGCCGCCGTGCCGGAGTTGCGATTTGGTCCGAAAGGGGCCCTGGGCCTAATTTGGATTTTTTTTGGAACACGTGTAGGTACTGTTAGTGTGTTTCAGTTCCCCGGGAAAAATTCAGGGAAAATTAGGGACGGCCTGCAGGCGCACTGTGAATCGTATTCGGATCTCGAAAACAAGTAAGGACCCCTCACCCTATTTCCTATCACGGTATTAAAGTTCAAAATGATAAAACGGTATTTCTTGAATTAACGCATGTGTGAAATTGCTTAAGGTTGCTAATGGAGCCCGAGTCTAGTGTGATTGATGATTTACTGTTATTTGGCCTGTTTACAGCTTTAAATGCAAAATGAGGTTTGATGTGTTCATTTTACAGATTTGTGTGCATGTACTACGTTTTTATTAATTATGGGTTGAATGACTGAAAAACTGATACTGTATGTTGTCTGTTTGGTATGAATTACGATTTGCTTGTTTAAATGTGAATTGATGATGCTGATTGAGGAAAAGGAAAATGAAAGATTGTGTAGACTGATAATTGTATTATGGGGGATCAGCCTGACTAGATATCCTGGGAGATGGTGGACCGGACCGGGATCCGTAGGGAACCTTACCGGGATTGTGATCTCACATGCCGGACGGGGTATGGAGATCTATGGTTTTGGCGCCCATACCGGACGGGGTATGGGGACGGCCCGTTTCACCCTCATACCGGGACGGGGTATTGAGGTTTATGGTTTTGGCGCCCATACCGGACGGGGTATGGGGACGGCCCGTTTCACCCTCATACCGGACGGGGTATTGAGGTTCATGGTTTTGGCGCCCATACCGGACGGGGTATGGGGACGGCCCTGGAAACTGATTATGAATGTTAAAGGTTAACGGGTAGCGGAACCCCTATGGACCCCCACGGATACTAGTAGGCTGGTAAATGAGAAAAAAAAGATATGTTGTACAATGATTGAATTACAAGAGGCGTGATAAGTGTTATGTTTTACAGCTTAGATTATTCAATGATTATGATAATGTTATTGTTTTTCTCATATTGTTTTCATAAATTCCACCAAGGTAAGTGGATGGTAAAAGTTTTATTATTGATAAAAGGTTTTGTTGTAAATTATGCTCCATTGGTCTTTTTGTGGTTTTCTACCCACCTTTATCTCCGTGACGGTGAGATATCATGATGTTCTTACTGGGCTAGTGTAGCTCACTCCTTAATTAACCATTTCAGATCAGGAAGACATGGTTCCCGAGCCCGTTCCGCAGGAGGACGACGAAGGGGATGCCTAGAGACTCTGTAGTCATACGCATAGTTTATTTTCGAGTTTTCTTTCTTAGTTAGTTTAACCTTTTATATTTTAAGTACGTTTGTTTGGTTTTTCGTGTAAGGGATGTTAACTGAAATTTTGATCTCGCTTCCGCATTCGATATATTTAAATACTCATTTCATTTTAATATTTCCGGGGCCGTTACAGTTGGTATCAGAGCCGCATTTCCTCGGGCCCATCCCTTACACTATAGTCCTTTAAAAAAAAAAATACTCACCGATGGGTCGTTACTCAACCATTCCTTGTAAATGCAGGTACACAGAAATGAGGAGAGGAAGGCCCCCACTAAACCGAGCGGCCCAAGAT